ATGGATGGATGGATGGATGGATGGATGGGTGGGTGAATGGACAGATGGATGGATGGGTGGGTGGGTGGGTGGGTGGGTGGGTGAATGGATGGATGGATGGATGGATGGATAGATGGATGTTTGGCTGGCTGGTTGGCTGGATGGATGGATGGATGGTCGGAAGGGTGGGTGGGTGGATGGATGGATGTATGGATAGATGGATAGATGGCTGGCTGGTTGGCTGGCTGGATGGATGGATGGATGGATGGTTAGATGTGTGGGTGGAAGGATGAATGGATGGTTAGATGGCTGGCTGGTTGGCTGGATGGATGGATGGCTGGCTGGATGGATATGATTGATGATTGGATGAAATCAGTCTGGCAATATGGTTTAGTGTTCACTTCTTATGCATGTGGCCCTGCCCTTTGCTCTGGGTTCTGGGCTGTGGACTCTGGACTCTGGTTTCAAATGCTGATCCTGGCAGCTCTGTGTGTGGCCCCTCCATGCCCCCACATGATCTCATCATCATAGTTTGTGATGTCACACAGCACTGTTTGCTTCTGGAGTCTGAATAGTTATATGTTTTTAATGGGTTCCTTATTTCTTGATATTTATGTAGAAGTCTGACGATGAACTTGACGTGTACCCCCCCCCCCCCCCCCCACCACCCCAAGTTACATGTTAAACTTTCTTCTAAAGCTGCAGTGCGGGCCAGATGAAGCTGTAGAAGCGTCAGCATGAAGCACATTGAAAGTTTGGACACTAGAGATGTTAACAAGTGAACACTCGGGTGACATCTGTTTGTTGGCCAGAACTGGTGGTTCTGAGACCCAGACCTCCAGGAAAACAACCTGTTTGAAATCTCACTGAACTACTTTGTAGAGGTAACATGTGAACTGTCATGACATGCTGGTTTTATGTCACGGTTTAGTCACAAAATGTCTGAATTATGTTTCATTTTGTCCACAAATGTCCAAACTTTTGGCCTCTGCTCAGTTTCTGAGGTTTGAGGCAGCCTGTTTTATTAATAAATAGTGTTTGATATTGATAAATTAATGATCTGAGTTAAGAAAAAAATGCCATATTTTGTTGTTTGAACAGTTGAAGTGTTGTCCAGTAGAAAACATTAAAACAAACTCTAAAGTAACCATGTTTACCTCTCAGTGTTCATGTATGACGTTTTACTGACAGTAAGAAGCCTAACTTGAGGGAAAATAACCCAACTCATCGAAAATAAAGTGTTTTACTTTTTATCGCTGTAAATAAAAATGTGGATTGATGATAAGCTGATCTTTGTTTAGGGATACTACATTCTCTCCTAACAGAATGAAAGATAGAAAAAAAACAGACTATAAAGTAAACCTCAAATCAGACGTTAAAAGTGCTTCAACTTTGAATCTTAAGGTAATCATAAGTTCTTTAAGTGTTTTTTATAAAAGAGATATGGGGGCAGCATGGTCCACTGGAAAGGATTGTCCTCCTCCAATCATAGGGTTAGGGGGTTCATTCTCCAGTCCCTGCAGTGTGCCAAAGTGTCCTTGGGCAAGAAAACACTGTACCCCTGCTGCCCACCAACATGCCTACTGGTTGAGTTAGAGTATAAAGAGCTGCATAGAGTGTAAAATAAATGAATGTCCGCACTTTATGACATGCTGAATGGGAACCTGGAGAGGTTAAAAAGCCTTCACTTCCCATTTACAAGAATATTCTGAATTAAATGTAACCGCATCAGGACCCGTCATTCTGGAGGGTGTATTTGAGAGTCTTCTGTCAGTGAGGGATTAAAACGCTGGTGTGAACATCCTCCATCTTCACCTGGGATCAGTGCACTTCCTGTGACCTGTTTAAATTGATGGTACTGTTCTGAACTCTGAGATCCAAACAGGACTGGATTCTACTTCTGTTTCACCAGTGCCCCATTGATGGTTGTAGTTTTATTTTGGTCTGTAGTTCATTGGTTCTGGACCAAGCCACATGTTAGGGCGAATAGTTTTCACATTTTAATGGTAAATGGACTGTACTTGTATAGCGCCTTTCTATCTTATTGAGATACTCAAAGCTCTTTACACTACAATCTGCCTCATTTACCCATTCATACAGCACTCCACTAGATTTCTACAAAGCTAATTGAACAAATCATTCTAACGAGATTAATCAGAGCTTTACCACATTCATACACTGATGGGACACACATCAGAGGCTATGAGGGATTCAGTGTCTTGCCCAGGGACACTTCGACATGTGACTGCTGGTGGATTCAAACCCCCAATTCTCGCATTGGAGGACAATTGCTCTAACCACTCAGCCACAGCCGTAATAAAAGCTGTGAGACGAGGTACCGGACAGGAATACCTGTGCTTCAATTTTTTTGCACCAGAACCTTAAATGTTGACTTGAAAGAAATTTTCTGTTGACTGTGACCTAGACAGAACTGGTTCCAGGACCCTGAAACCTGGCTCTAACTTGTCTTCTGTCTCCCACAGTCCCATGTCTTACAGCAACAGTCCTCAGCAGCTGAGCCCGGTCACTGTGTCCCACACCCCCTCTGTGGGGACACCCACCCACCACCGAGGGGCTCTGCAGGGGGACCTCAGGGACATGATCAGCATGTACATTCCTGGACCTGGAGGGGATTCCTCTGATCCTGCAGTGGCTCAAAGGGGCTACACAAGTGTCCAGCAGCACTACCTCACTGGAACTGTCCCACTCACACACATCTAGGACTGCCGTGGGACCCTCGAGGTGGGCTGGGGTGTGAAGACTAATAGGAGGAGTTGACAGAGAGATGGGTGAGGACTACACCAGAGTCACTTGATGCTGGGGAGTCCTGACTGGACACAAGTGGATCTCATTGACCCATACTAAGGGAGACCTCTTCCCTCTCAGGTTTGTTTGATAGGAACGGGACTGGTTCTCCTCTGGATTCTGAGTCCCTACATGGCCTTGACCAGACTTCAGCTCAGTTCAAGTGGTTCAGATCTTGGTGACTGGAGGAAAGACAAACTGACTGAGGAGCTCAGTCCCATCACCTGAAATCCTCCAGAACTCTTCTTAGTTCTGGTCCTAGTTTCTGCACAAGCTGAACTTTTAATAAACTGTGTCTTGAATGATTCCCAGGTGAAACTGTGTGGAAACATGGGTGCTAGAACCAGAACTCTGGATCTATCCAGTGTGTGTCAGCTCAGTTGGTACAACTGTAGTAGATTAGCTGCTTAGTGTCTGTTTTCTCACTAAATGTTTGGAAGTTCAGAACTTGGACTAATTTTTACTCATCTGTCATTCAAATCTTTGAGTTACATTTTCAAATGTCTTGTTTTATAAACCAGCAAACTGTTTTTCTGCTAACTTCGGACTTTTTATTTTTATTCAAGCTGCAGAAACTGGATGTGATGGACTATTCCATGCACACAGCTTCCTTGCCGTGCACTGAAACAAAACTCAAAGTGTTCCTCCGAGTGTTGGAGCTGTTACTGTGATATTTAAAGTCAGTGTTTTAATTTACAGGAAGTCTCCTTCAGGCCTGAAGGGACCCCCTCTGCGCTCCGAGACTCGTTTTCTGTTTGGTACTGAAGGTTCTGGAGGACTTTCACTGAGTTCATTACAAAATCACATGCAGGTGTTTGACTTGAACTGGTCTGTAGAGGTTTATTCCTTCACAATAGGAGTCTCAAACTGACTGTTTGAGACTCTTATTGTGAAGGAATGGAGGAAGCTGTATAATTGTTGCTGCTGTGGAAGTAAAAAAAAGCCTGAACTGTTATAAAATAATCCTGTCCCCCAGCTCCAGACAGTCTGGTTTTGGAGCAGAATGGACCATCTCTTCTGGTTTTTCCTCAGCATGATGATTTTGATGGCAAAACTGAAATCATCACCCTGTTTTTATTTTGTCTTTTATAGCTGCTCGTGTTTCAGTTCCAGTGATTTGTGAATGTTTTGATGGTTCCTTTAAAGTTAGCGTTTTTAGAGACATGTTTTCCTGCTGCCCTGTACACCTCTGTAGACCCCTAGGTGTTCTACTGTAAATATTTCAGGCTTCCTGTCCAGAGTCTTTACTCTTTTTTTCATTAAAAACCTTTCATGTGGCATTATTGTGTGACAATGTGCTGTAATAGAACCTGACCCAGTATATTAATAACAGAACCTGACCCAGTACAGTGATCACTCCCAGCTCATCTCTGAACTCACACCAGGTAGAGCCAAATAAATCTGGCCCCACCTCATTCAGAATCAGAACCTCAGACGTTTGCTGTGTCATGGGTGGGGAGAACACTTCTTCCCATCATTGGTTCTGCTCAGCTCTCTGTCAGTCCATCATTGGTTTTGCTCAGCTTTCTGTATGTAGGTCCAAGCATTGCTTCAGTCAGGTTCAACTTCTGGACCTTGGTTCTGTTCTTCTTGATGCATGTTGTAGATCAGGTGCTGTGTTTGGGATCATTGTCCTGTTGGAACCAGTTTGGTCCAAGCTTAAATTTCTTGAAACAGTACCACCTTGTAAGATGCTTCCATTAGGTAAAATTATAACAGCATGGGATACATTTTCATTGTTATGCTGATGAAACACAATTATATTCGTCCATCAGCTACTTAAACTACAAGCATGTCTTAAAGACATAAAAACCTGGATGACCCTACATTTCCTGCTTTTAAACTGAGACAAGCCAGAAGGTCTGGTTTTTGGACCCGAGCATCTTAGGAATAAATTTTGCAGTCTTTCACTTTCTTTGGATGATGTTAATTTGGCCTCCAGTTCTCAAGTTAAAAACCTTGGTGTTATTTTTGATCAGGACATGTTTTTAATCCCCACATTAAAAACATTACCAAAAAATGGTAAAAAAAAAAATATATATTGCCTTTCCTCCACTTGCGATACATCATTAAATTAGAAACATCTTGTCCAAAAATGATGCAGATAAACTGGTCCATTCATTTGTCACATCTAGGTTGGACTATTGCAATTGTTTACTAACTGGGTGTCCAAAAACATTTAAAAAGTCTTCAGTTAATCCAAAATGCTGGTGCCAGAATTTTAATGACAGTGGATGGGAGAAATCATTTCTCCAGTTTTAGCTTCTCTCCACTAGCTCCCAGTCACATTCAGAATAGAATTCAAAATCTTACTTCTAACTTACAAAGATCTCTACAACCTGAGGTGGGGTTTTAGGTACATCGCTCTAGTGACAAAATCACAGTGTGACAGGAGCCTGAAGTACCTGTGTCCTTGTTGGACGCTGCAGCAGACTGCAGGTCTGCACATCAGAACATGATGCTTTCATGAGTTTGAGGAGACAGCACCACAAACAGTTGGCTCCACTTTTACCCTACAACCACTGAACCACTGAAGTTGAGACTCAACCATCTTTGTGGTGGACTGGGGACCTGTTCAGGATGTCCCCACCTCACACAGCATGTAGTAGAGACAGGACACCCCAGCACAGAAAAGCTGCAATGGATGGATAGATCAAATATCCTTGAAGATGTTCCTTTTGTTGCTCCCAGGTCCTGCACAGTCTTCACTGGTGCACCTGATCACAAGCACAATTAACCAATGTGCACCCCACTTTCTACCATTGTTCTCAAAATATTTGTCTAAGAAAGGGATAACGGCAGTGCTATGTGTTGTCTTCAGTGTATGAGTCCATGTAAGCATGAAACGTGTCCGATGCATTGGACCTGCCAAACTTGTGGCATGGATTAGTATTTTTCTCATAGCCAGGTGTGTGATTTGAAGTCACTCAGGTTTCTTGCTTCTAATACTTCTTAGCTTCATAAGAGTTTGCCTGCAGCTATTCACTTATTTATCTTGTAATGAGTACTTCTAGAGGTTCTTGAGTATTTGTACTCAAGAATTTGAAACAGTATTGACAGTAGTATGCCCCTTCTCCATAGTACCTTTTAGTACCTGTACAATATAGATCGAGTCAGTTCGGTATGGTACACATTATGTTCCCATTATGCTTTCAGTACCAGTTCCAGTGGGGGTTCAAATTGATGCCACGGACCTCACCAGCTGGTGGCGGTAAGAACTTGAAACAGATTTCAGTACAGGGTGAGAATTTATTTTGAAGTTTCTGGTAAATTAAAAAGAATACAGATTATTAAATTTATATATATATATATATATATATATATATATATATATATAAACTGGTCGAAAAACTGGTCATGACCCACATCAAAACAACCATCAACATCAACGAGGACCCTCACCAGTATGCATACTGCAAGAACCGATCAACAGAGGATGCCATCTCCTCCGTGGTCCACACTGGTCTCACTCACCTGGAGCAGAAGGACTCTTATGTCTGTATGCTCTTTGTGGACTTCACATCTGCCTTCAATACCATGATCCCCCAAACCCTGATGGACAAACTCAACGGTGGTGGGATGTATCACAAACAATGATGAGTCCAGCTACAGGCAGGAGGTAGAACACCTGGAGAGCTGGTGCAAAGAGAAAAACCTTCACATCAATGTGAAGAAGACAAAGGAGATGATTGTGGACTTGAGAAGGGACAAAAATACCCACACCCCCCGGAACATAAGAGGATCTGCGGTGGAAGTGGTCTCCAGCTACAAGTACTTGGGTGTACACATGAATGACAACCTCAGCTGGGACAACAACACTACCAGCCTGATCAAGAAAGCTCATCAGTGACTCTGCAGCCCCCAGTATACTCCCACGTACGTCCATACACGGAGGTACGCACGTACAAATGCGGAGGTATGAGCGTATCCCCCAGGGCATGTCCGTGCAAAGCTCAATTTTTATGACGGCGTACATGTACGCGGTGTCGCACAATAAACTGCCCAGCGACAGACTGTTTTGTATGTGACACTAATGTATTAAATTCCCCTTCTTCATCCCTGATATGGCCTTTTCGTTAGTTTTTTTTGCCAAGAGGCAAGCGATCTCTTCCTCCTCCTCCATTACTGAAATGGTGAGAAATGAAAGAATTTGTCACGAGCGAATTAAAATCAGTTCCAGCATGGCTGCAGGAGGGTCTGGATATTTCCTGGTGGGCTGGTCTGATGTGTGGGCTGCAGAGCCAGTGCTCCCTGTTTTTTTGTTTTTTTTTAGATCTTTTTATTAACAACACATAAACACAGAACACCACTGCGACTGAGACTGCCAGCACTCGTTTTTTTTTTCTGACCTGTCAATCAATCCAGTAGGCGTGTCAGCAAATGACCAATTGGTGACATCAATTTGTCCTGAAGGTAAACACCCCTAGTCTGTGAAGCAGCTCTGCAGCTGCTCAGGGTGTATAATAGAGTATCAAGTCTGAACACTCTGCCTACAGTACACACATACGTATGCGTGAACAGACATAAGCAGGAGTATACTGGGGGCTTACTTCCTCAGACAGCTGAGGCGAGCTGGTCTGGGAAGCTCAGTCTTCACCTCCTTCTGCAGGTGTGCAGTGGAGAGCATCCTGTGCTCCAGCATCAATGTATGTCATAGAGGCTGCACAGCTGCAGAAAGAAAAGATTTGCAAAGAGTGGTGAAGGCTGCACAGAAGACTGTTGGAGTCAGCCTCCACACCATCACAGACATCTACACCTCTAGACGCAGGAAGAGGGGCACCTGCATCATAAAGGACCCCACTCACCCAGCACACACACTTTTGCCCCGCTCCCCTCAGAAAGGAGGTTAAGGAGCATTAAGTGTAGAACCATTAGACTGAGGAACAGCTTCTACCCTGAAGCTGTTAGACTCATGAACCTCTGACCAGGATAATCACTGTGAAAAATCACATCATGCTGCTGCTGATCT